TCCTGTCACTGAATCCAACTAACGCCTCTATCTACTGTGCCATGTTTCCTTGTTTAAACTTAGTTGTTGAAATTAGGCTTGAAAACTACATTTATACTTTGTAATTTAAGGTAATCTTTGTAGTCATATTACAAGTATATATTATATTATCTTTTTAAGGTGGTAATGGCCAAAAATGGCAGTCACTTTCCATCGAGTAAGCAATACAAGCCAGGTGAAGACAGCTGAAAACTATAGCAGAGTGTGGCCTGAGGTTGGCCCACAGAAATGTTTTTCTATACACCTATCAATGCGCGGCATGACACTGCAAAAAACCCCTATATTATGCCAATGTTCACCAGAGACGTTTCTGTAAGAGTATCAAAGAGTCCGGGCTCCTTGCTACCATAAACTCCTACACTCAGTATGAAGATTCGTATCCGCCAGCGTGTCATATCGCCAACGACAGATGAAAAGTCCCCCTAAACAGGAAACAAGTGATAAATCTCTATTCTTGTTCAAAAGACAAGGATAGATTGTGAACCTGGTGACAGGCTAACCTATCTATTCCTATTGAAGAGAAAAGCAAGTACATATAACGAAAAAAGGAAATGTGAATATAGTAAATAAAATCTTAGTTTAGAGGCGAAGGGTTTTGAAGAATAAAATTAAGCTAAGAGTTAGAATGCATGAATCTCACTAGGTTTAGTAAGGAAGCAGTCGGTAATTAACTATTAGGTTTTAATAACTTAAAACCTAATAGTTAATTACCGATATAAGTATAAGTTGCGTTATCTCATATCAAAGAAAAATAAGAAAACAAAGGGGAAACTAAGCTAGCCATGTTGCCGATAATTTATTTTATTTCTATACTCTAAAGAGGGGGATTTAATAAATATTTATGTAAATAAATTAAACCAACACACACGTATACCTATGCTAACGAACCTTCAATTTGGTCACATGTATCGTAGTTTGGTATGTTGAACTCGCTTAAAAGTTGAATTTATAAGCAATCCTTCTAGATTATGCAAAGGCGTTTAGACACAAATAAGTGTTTCAACTCCAAGGTACTCGGGATTTATTTGGGAAGAAAAATAGAATAGTCAAGAAGTTACACTGGGAACAAACAGCAAGTATACGGGTAGAAAATGAATCCAATAAATATACAAAAATAGAAAGGAATTATATAAAAGGATGTGTCTTCTCACCGGACATACTCAAACCTTTCAGCGAGCTGACCTTGAAAGAATTAGGAGTCCAACCTGAAATCATTATTGGCGGTAACTATATTAAGGAGATTAGACATGCAGGTAATATAATGATGATGGCAGACATAGACAGGAAATTACAAGAATTCCTAAAGAAGGTATTGAAGCAAAGCAAAAAGAAAGGACTAAATATCAACTGCAAGAAGACAGAAAGTATGGCTGTCACAAAACGGAACACTTCACAACTTAAAACACCTTTCTCCCAGACGAACTTTTCCTAGCCTCTTACTATCAGTATTTTTATGGCTAAAAAATTTAAAATTAAGCAAATACAAAAATCTAAATATCTACGAAGCCATATTTACATTATTCGGACTATTGTCCTCATCTTTGTCGCCATATTTATTACAACGTTTCGTCCGTTGTACGCTCCGGCCTTCTTCAGCTGGGTGGAATGTCGAACTGAATCCTCAAGGACACATGGCGCAGTGGATAAAGGCGTTGGTTAAATCAGTAAGAGGACCCAAAGAGTGTGAGTTCAATATTCGGTTAAGGCAATGGAGAACTTTCAGAGGGAAATTAACAGGAAAAAACTGATAACTGACACCCATCAAATCATGGCACGTGGAACTAGAACAGTCTATCCCAGTGAGCGAAATAAAGGGTTCAGTTCCACATAGCAACCACCTGAAAAAGGCCGAAACGTTGTAATAAAGATGGCAAAAAAGATGAGGACAATAGTCCCAATAATGTAAATAATGTACATAATACCTCATCTCAGAAATATAGACAGATCTATGAAATGTTTTAACAGATGACGTAAAATGAGATACTAAAAGCTGAAGACCCATTGGAATAGTGAAAGTGGCCACCCAGATGCTTTAGAAATGCTAAGCAAAGTATTAAGAAACAGGAGATTTTATTAGAAACAAAGAAAAGACTAATGATTTTTCTTTTTAAATTTAATATCGGTTCTCCTGTGTGGTAGCAAATACTGAACAATCTCATTACGAATGATGAAGAGATAAGAGTTAATAGAAATGTCATTGTACAGATGCATGCTGAGAATACCACTGACTGAACAAGGAAGCATTAGAAAAAATGTTGACGAAAAGTCACGTATGTCTATGCGTCAATGTTTTCTCTAGAATTAGAGACAGTTGAAATTTCACGGATACATAATGTGGAAAGAGGGCTTAGAAAATTTGACACTCGTAAGGACATATTTAAGGCAAGTGAGACAGATGAAAGCATGAAATATCCAACATGAAAAGCTTGTGTAAATAGTTGACAGAACAGGGATTAGGAGAGATAGCAACAAAAAAAAAACATGATAAAAGCTTCAAAAGACTGGAAATTATACAGAGCCATGATCGCCCATCTCCTAAATATACTTGGTACATAGAAGAACAAAAATATGGTAGTAGATAAATAGGTGATAGCCACCATGAAACTTCATTTCTTCTTTCATAACTTTAAACTTTCCCCTTTTTTTCTCTATTCAATTCATTGATTCATTATCTTTCAGTTACACACTCACGCACAGCTCTTTAGGTTTTATCAGGATATCTGAATCGTGGCTTTCCAGTCCTCATTTTCCAGCCTTGGCAGGTCTCGAAAACATTTATATGACTTTGTTTCCCAACCTACAACACCTTTCTCACAGACAAACTTTTGTTAGCCTTTTACTATCAGTATTTTTTATGGTTAATGTTCGAACGAACTAAATTCCTTATTTCCCTCAGTTCATACTCCTGGGTATGACGATAAACTATATCTGGAGCAAGGCCTCAAATCGGGAGTTTGGAACCGCCATTTAATTGCTATTAATCTCACGTCCACCCTGAACCGGGTTGGTAGCGCCTATTAGGTTCCCCACTATGGGTAAATAGTGAACGCCAAACAAAAAATATGAAAATATAAAATATATATTTTTATAGCAAAAATTCCAGTAATATATATTTATAATACAATTATGAAAAATGCCTATTTATAACAAAATGATCATGAATACATTTTATCTTCAGTTAAAGGCATAGAATTGCGCTCAAAATATATATAACTGAAGACATACAAGTGCACGCAAAATATATTTAACTACAGGCATACAGTTGCGATCAAAATGTATTGAACTGAAGGCATAGAATTACGTTCAACATATATTTAACAAAAAGACATATAACTGCGCTTAAAATATATTTAACTGAAGACAGAGATTTGCACTAAAAATATATTTAACAGAAGGCATATAATTGCGCTCCAAATATATTTAACTGAAGGCATACAATTTCGCTCCAAATT